ACAGTCATTAAATATTGTAGAAAGCACAAACAAAAAGGAACATCTTTCCATTTTACCCTTGAGGGGGAGAAGAGAACAATTCACATCATAGATTTTTAAAAGACTAACCAAGATAACCATATATTTAACTAAGAATCTAACCTACTAAAAAGGCAAGAAATTTACTCTATATGTATATCTTTTGTGCTTCTCGATAGGTTAAAGATAAAAATAACAGAAAGGCCTTTCCGAATACATCCACATCTGCATGACATCAACTGCAATAACCCCAGAAACCCACCCCAACTCCGAAGAAAAAGGAAAAAGAAAATAACAAATAGTTAAAAAGCAATGAGTTTACCTCCTTAGAAGGAACAGGGGTAATAGACTTCATGTGAGATGAAATTGGTAATATGTTCAGTTCATCATCCATGACCACACATGCCTTGCATGAAGCAAGTGACAATAAGAAGCGTTCATTAAAGCGCCCAGTAGCCTCAGAGTGGGATTCAGTTCGAAATCGATCATGAACGTCCTACAATTAGTACACCACATGCAAGTTGCTCTTAACAGGATTTTAGTAAGATAAGCAATAGTCCTTTAATAGAAGTGCATGTCAAAATAAATAATATTGATAAATTGATTGTTTTCAAGAAGGGGCATAGGGCATTATAAGATAAGCATGGCAATAAAACATTTCCAGAGATGCACCAACAGAAAATTAGCGTTTCCATTTATAAAAACTACTTCACTATTCTCAGATAAACTTGAATCAACATTAAATATCATAGGAAAGTCTAATATTTGATGCAAGGTAGTCAATAGCAAAAGGCACCTTAAGACAGTAAGCCTATGAATACACCAATCTAATGTTGATCTTACAAACCTCATGGCATGAAGAAAACAGGAAAAGAATCGCATAGAAACAAATTCCTGCTAATAGATACTCAAGGACCAAATATCAACTAACGATGACAACAATCTATAATTAGCCATGAGGAATGAAATTTTAAAAACTGGTGAAAATAATAATTATGATGAATATATGACCATACCATCACCATGGTGTACAAGCTGGTTAAAGAGGATAGAGAACGAAGTAGCAACACAATCAACCCACCTCCCTCCACTGTCTCTATTGTTCTTGCAAGGAGATTGGGTGTCAAAGCCTCAAAATCCTGTAAGCAAAGAAAATAGTAAAATTATTTTGATACAAGGGTGAAACAGAAAAATAACTAACAAAGAACGAGAGCAAGTTACCTGAAGTATACACATTCCAAATGTATTACCAAGAATTCTTTCTGAATCCTTATATAAACAATAAGTTAATCCACCACTTTCTACAAACAGCGAAAATGGATCAACTTTCTCAGGATCCAGCAGACCCCTCTGCATCAACTTTTTAATCTGCTTTGCACGCTTTTTCTTGTGGCTACATTCATAATCATGTCAATCAAGTTAATGCAAATTCTATTAAAGAATCATCAAAATAAAATTAAAAGGAAAAAACTCGTTGATAATATATAATGAACCTGCTAAGTTCAAGTTTGTCCTTGTAACACCACAAAACGGTTGGCCTGGATTTGATTTGGGCCTTGCTAAGCATGTAATGGAGATTTACAATCTGCAAGAGGTGGGGACAACTTTAAAACTCACATTGTATCAATAGGAGTTTCTTTCACGTTAATTAAGTTTTGCAACTTCAGCCTGATTCTTATGCCCCAAATTTTGGGGGGAAACAAGAAATAACAAATTATGGTGTTTGTTTGTGTGCATCAGCAAACAATATAGTGTCTGTGGAAAAAATAGTATGTCAGAGAGGAAGAGACCTGGTCCCGTGACTTGTCACCAATGATGACAAACATGGAACGATGCCTTGTTTTGACACCATTCTCAATGAGAGTCCTGATTCGCTCATCCACTTTTTTCCTCATTCTCTGCTATGCAATCAAATATTTGCATGTTAGCACCTCACAAGCAAATTAATCTGTCAACTTTCAACTCCTCCATTTCAAATTAAAGTACCAATACCATCAAAACAGTTATCAGCAGAAAAGGCAGTGAGGACAGACTCTGTTGGCCATACTTTTCAAATATCAAAGTCGAAGTAACAAAATTCAGCCAAAATCAGAGAGCATTAAAGCAAGGATCAGCTCGTACTGATGTTATTATAATAAGCGTTACGCTAATCTGTTTTTAACTGAAGTTATCAACTTTGAAAGTTAGCAGGTGCTGCATTCTTGATTTAGCTAGATGGTACTCTTTTGATTATGTCATAGTAATGCACCTAATGCAAAATTGGACATAATCTCTCTTTCAAAAATATAGAAGTCATATTAGTGAATAGTTCAACTTAATAAAACTGATAGATTAATTTGATCAAAACGGTGGACGGTTGAGTGATCCTAGATTCCTAGTTCTCTCAGTGATAATAATAATAAAGCTTTCACAATTATATCAACCGCTCTATCAGAATTTTGACTCTTGATTACCGTTACCTGTCAGTAGTCAAGTTTAAGGGCGCATCGTCTCCTATAAGCATAGCAGCAAATTCATCATTTTACTACTCACAGCTTAATTTTTTCCAGTAGCATTAACAAACTGGAGTTTTCGGGTAGTTTATTGGCTGTATTCACTTCTATCGATAAAGGATGAAGTTCAAATACCCTTGAATGCAACATTTAGAGTGATTCTCTTCCATTTAATCAAAATATTCCTACAAGGAAAACCAGAGCACACATACTGGTTGAAAAAGCAGAGATGATGCTTGACAACAATAATGGAGAACGAATGAGCCAACGTATCGCCAAGACGCGACTGAGACGCGAATGAGTCGATAAGTTGAGATTGAGAGCGGCGCTGAGACGAGAGGTGAGTGAACGGCGACGCCGCCTGACTGGTTGAGGAAGAGGTTTAGAGTCTTGGAAGTTCTGAAATAAAACCCCAGGGACATCCAAGTCAATTTGCAATTTATACTTCACATTAGTACAGGAGTACATATTACTTTTTTTTTTTTGGGCCAGCGTAAAAAATATAAAAATAAAATAAATAAAACATTGTAAACGGGTCAGGTCTTAAATAAATAGGTTAATAGGTTAATTTGTTTATATCTAAGGCATCAAATATATAAGAAATATTTTTAATTAATACGAAGTTTCTTATATTTTTACCTGACAAACCTACAAACACTGTCATCCTTACAACATCTGAAAAACAAAATAATCTAATTTTTTAAAATGTCATAATTTTATTAAAATTTTTAGAAGTTATCTATCAATAAATTTTAAATTGAAAAAATTATTTTATCCTTATTGACAAATTATAATTTCTTGTTCAATTCTTATGATTATTTGAATAAAATTTATCATTATTTAAATAAAAATTATGATTGAGGCTTGTTATTTTGAGAACTTATTTTTCAATAACAAAAATTTCACTTGATAAGTTATGATTTTTTATTCAACTTTTGCGATTCACATAACAAAATTTGTTATTTTTTACGCAAAAGTTGTGATTAAAACTTGTTATTTTGAGATAAAAATTACACTTGATAAGTTATAATTTCTTATATAGTTCTTACGATTTATGAAATAAAAGTTGTTATTTATTAAGCAAAAGTTGTTATTAGAGTTTATTATTTTCAATAAGGATAAAATAATTTTTTCACTTTAAAATTTATTGATATGGAAAGTTTCTAATGACTTCAGTAGAATTATGATATTTCAAGGGATTATATTGTCATTTATATAATTTAAAAAAATTATTGTTATTTTCCCAAAAAAAAATTATCTACCATAAATCCTCTTTCTAATTTTGTTTTCTGAAATTTTAATAAATTATAAATTATTAATCTCAATTAATTATTGGCTGTACTTTTTTAAAAATTATTTTTAGATTAAGACTCTTAAATTTTAAGTTATATATACATACTGTACTATAATTTCCTTATTAGTGGTGAGCATGCAGTTGACTTATCATAAATTCCATATCATTCATTTTATAAGTTGTGAATGGATAATTAAGTTGACCTAGTTTCAATGGACAAAAGAAAGCCTTATGAGCTTGTTTGAAACTATTTTTATTTTATTATTATGAGAATTGATGTTTTAAAAATAAAAAATAATAAAAATAGATTTTTTTTCATCCTTCCTTGTTTTTCAAAATAATAATTCCAAAATATCTAAAAGTTGTTTCCATTTTCTATTCTCTATAATAATATTTTTTTCTCCAAAATATTTTTAAAAACACATTACCAAATAATTTTTTTATTCTTTTATTTTGAAAAATAAAAAATTATTTTTAAAACAGATTGTCAAACAAGCCCTTACTTTATCTGTTTTTAACATGAATGCTTTAAGATAGATTTATTTATAAGAAATGTTGGTTTAGAGTACTTTATCATAAAGATTAAAAGATTTGTTGATAAAGTATCATTCGATAATTCATAAAAATTTTATTCATAACTTATAAAGTCATTAATCCAAATTCTATTGTTGATGTAAACATCTTATTAATGAGCAACTGATGAGTATCTTTTGCAAGCATTTTTTAACATAAATACATGATCCTGCCTTGGTGAGTTCTTGAAGCATAACCCACTTGGCATTTTTATCGTTAAAAAGAAAAAAAAAAAAAAAGGAGTGAAGGGACTCCGTTGGGTGAGAATTTTGTAGGCAATGTACAAACGTGGACATGTGAAGATGGATGAATTCACGCCACTCTTCCCACAATTGTCAAACTCGACAACTATTATTTCTTTGAAAGGTAAAAAAAGGTCGAACATACTAACACTATTATTAGGCAATGAATTACGCTACTCACTCTAGTCCTATAATGCTTTCTTAAGACAGTTTTGTAACTAAATTAACCTAATTAAACTCATGCCACGTGTCAAAAACCCCACAATTCTCTCCGATGTTGCCTTCTCACACATATATACCACCATTTTCAGTTAGTTTCACAAAAAAGAGCCCACATAACGGCAAATAACTAATCATAATCTCAATCATAGTCTGTTCTTGATGCGTGGCTTGTGTTTCAGTGTAATCATAGTTATGATCATATTGGCACATTATTGCCAATGTGGAGAATCATCAATCTCTAGCCTTGGTGTGAACTGGGGAGCTCTGGCTTCTCATCCATTGGACCCAGGGATTGTGGTTCAGATGCTGAAGGACAATGGGATCAAGAAGGTGAAGCTGTTCGATGCAGATTCTTGGACTGTGAGTGCATTTTATGGGACAGATATACAGGTCATTCTGGGAATTCCCAATGATCAATTGCAAAAAATTGCTCATAATAGCAGAGATGCTGAACACTGGGTCAAGGAAAATGTCACCAAGCATCTTCATGATGATGGGGTCAACATCAAGTACGGATTTTTTTTTCACCTTCAATACATTATATATATATATATATATATATAGGCTTTTTGAATCTGACACTCTATTATTGATTAAAAATGTTATGCAGATTCTGCATCATAAGAATTAGGGAGAGTCATTTAGTTCCAGTAGAAGGCATTGATAACAGTTAGTTCCCAATAATTTTTTTTTAAAAGTAAGTTGTAAATATAGATTTAAATAATTATAAATTTAAAAGTTCTAATTGTAAATAAGATATTTAAATTTCAAATGTAACTTTTAGTTTAATTTACAGTTGAAATCTATTTATAACTATCTAAATCAATATTTATAATTCATTTTTTTAAAAAAAATTGTTGGGGAGTTAACTATTATTAATTCTCTCTTTCGAAACTTTATCGTTATTCTTCCTAAAATTATTTATCAATATACGTACAATCATTTCAACGAGACCAAATTATATATATATATATATATATATATAGGTATGTAGAGTAATTTCTCTGGAGAGATGGATCAACTTCCCTTTCTGGATCAAGAAGGGGTAAAAAGATTTCAAGAGCTTTGTAGTTATTAGTTATTACTTTGTTAGAAAAAAATATATTGTCAAGCTAAGTTTAAATTCTCCAAAAGGTTGTTTATCGAGTTTAGAGAAAAATATTTGTCAATGTTTTTTTAATTTAATCGAAACCTTGCATTAGAAAACTACAGAATTCTTACATTGTTTAATTCAAGGAAATGGATTAAATTGTTACTCTACATTTATAATGCACATTATACATTCAAACAAAAAATAAAGAAAAATAATGATGAATATCATATATATACTTAGTTATGTATATAAGGAAATGGAGGAATGCTGAACTTTATTAGAAGAGTTTTAGTCCACTTGATTTGAATTAATTGGTTGAAGTCTAGTGTGTTTCAAAACAGAGTATAAGATATACTATGGTTTATATTGGAGAATTATGGATTTTGAGATTGTGAATTAATCAGTTATAGATTAAATCATTTGAAACCTTATCTCTTTTCTCAATTCTCATGAATTTATAATTAATATTCGATGAAATAAGATCTAAAGAAAAAATCACCCTCCTACTTTATCACATTCCAATAATGATATCATATAATGTTACATGTCCACGTCTAGTCTAGATTTATCATTATTTATCTAAAATGTCACTCCCAAAATCCATACGTGACACATCACTCTAAATACAAAAATAATATGTTTGATTTAGAGCTGTCTTATATTGTCTCAGATACGTAGCGGTTGGAAATGAACCATTCCTCTCAAGTTACAATGGAAGCTACGTGAAGGTGACATATCCAGCAATGGTGAATATTCAGAGCGCTCTAGAGAAAGCTGGTCATGCAGATACAGTGAAGGTCACTACACCCATGAACGCCGACGTTTACGAGTCCTCCTCCAACAAGCCGTCGGACGGACAATTCCGCGACGACATCTCCGGCGAGATAAAACAGATATTGAGCTTCCTCAACGACAACAAATCACCATTCATGGTCAACATATACCCTTTCCTTAGTCTCTACCAAGTCGCAGGGTTCCCTGGAAACTTCGCATACTTCGACGATAACGCCAAACCAATCAGCGACGAGAACAACGTTCAATACACTAACGTGTTCGACGCAAACTTCGACACTCTCATTTACGCACTGAAAAAAGTAGGATTTCCTAACCTGAGCATCCAAGTAGGTGAAGTAGGATGGCCAACAGATGGTGATCACACTGGCAATGCAAACCCTAGCAACGCACAGAGATTCTACAAAGGACTTATGAAGAAGGTGGCGAACAAGAAAGGAACCCCACTTCATCCTGAGCCTACAGAGATGTACTTGTTCTCTCTTTTTGATGAAGATTTGAAGAGTATAGCGCCAGGAAGCTTCGAGCGTCACTGGGGGATTTTTCGCTACGATGGAAGACCAAAGTTTCGTATAGATTTTTCAGGTGAAGGAGAAGATAAGTGGCCTGTAGGAGTGAAAGGAGTGAAGTATCAAGAACGTCAATGGTGTGTGGTGAAGAGTAATGTGAGGGACGAGAGTGCCTTGGCAGCTACATTAGGTTATGCTTGTGCTAATGCAGATTGTACGAGCTTAGGGGCTAATTGTTCGTGCATGCATATGGATCTTGTAGGGCAAGTCTCGTATGCTTTTAATCAGTTTTTTCAAGCCAGAGATCAGGACGTTGAGGCTTGTGATTTCAAGGGAATGGCAACTATTGTGAAACAAGATCCATCAAAAGGGACTTGCTTTTTCCCAGTAGAAATAGTTAGTGGTGGAGTGATGCTTCACGCAGTACACTATTTGGGAGGCATTTTGGTTTGCTTCTTGTTCATGTTCGTCACATTGGCCTAAGGAGAAACAGAGATAGCTAGATGGCACAACACATGCGATCAAACGAACTTGGAATAATTTACTTAGTGTGCCATTGTTGTTGTGCAAGTGGATAGCATCAAGCCAACATAGCGGGATAAGATTTGTTGTTATTGTATGCTAGGTATATACAAAAGCAAGAGATGTATAAGCGGGTACAGAGCAGTGTCTTAGTTTATAGTGAAATAGCACCAAAGGAATAATGGTAAGGCAATGGTATTTTCATATTTTGCCCTATTGCAGTGGTAGATTCCCATAATTAAAAGCACCAAGGACAATATTGAGTTTCTCTGCCATTTTTCTTCTCTCTCTTGTTTACGCTCCAATCTTTTTTTTAATAATTAAAATTAAAATTAAATAAACAATCGATCCAAATACACCATTTTGAGATGATTTTAATGTTAATATTATACACACACAAATTATTCTTGCACGATTATCATGAATGAATATAACTAATTTAGATTTGAGTTTATATGACATCAATTTTATTATTTGTTCGATCACAAATGAACCAATAAATTAACTTTGAATTAGACCCAAAAAAAATTAACTTTGAATAGCCTTGAGCGGTTACCCATATTTAAAAACAGTAGAATAGGCAAGGGGATAGTGCTAACGCACATCCACGGTGACCAATGGGTACAAGCCAGAACCGTCATGCATTATGTATAACACATGACAAATGGAATCTTAATTATAATGTACAGTAACAACTATACATTACATATTAGGAGAAAAAATAAGGGGGGAAATTAATGGGACATGCGTGATTCTCCTAACCTTAAAACTGACACTAATCAATAAAAGGAGAAGAAGAAACTAATCTCGTAGAGTTTAAACCCTCCCTCAACCCATAAAAAACCAAGAGGGAGAAAGACAAAGAGCTAAAGAAACCAACCAAACTAAAATGAGCTATATAGCTGACCTAATCAATAACCACGCATGGTTTTTGCTAATCGAAAAACCCAACTTCTGATTATCAACAACGAACTAACAGAACAACTATTAGAACCCATCATTTTGACTTGCTACGAGAAATCTTTTTCTGCTCTTCATGCGGGCAAGTCAAAGTCTGGAACCACTATCGAGAGTTCGACGACGTTGACCTGCCTGATCAAGAATAACTGTCTCACATTAAAGGAAGGTAAGCTCCACCATGACCTTTCCTCAGCACTAATGGCGCTGCACTGTCAGGCACCTTATCCATTTCCTTCATGCATGTATTAATGACATCCCCAAATCCAGTTGCCACTGTACTCAACTGCACCCGCAACCTTAAATCCCTCGTCCGCTTCAGTAAGCACCGGAATGATCTTCCTAAATACTTGGCCCAATCAGCAGGCAACCCTCCTCCTGTGAGCCAAACTGAGAATTGAGATTGGTCCCCTCTGGCAGCCACTTCAGATCTGTAGAATCTAGCTAAATCAATTAGCATAGACGGTGGAAGAGGTAGAACAGCGACAAATTCAGCCACAAACTCTTCCATTACTTCAGGTCTGAGCATCAGGTTCCAGAGTACCAATGCCCACTCGCTTGGCTGGTTAAGGCCATAAGCTTCAGCTACAATTAAAGCCTCCTGAAATCGAGATTGCTCAACCAATGCTCTCCTAGCATTTGTTTCTGACAGATAAAGCCACTGAAAATCCGGCATTCGAATTTGAAGAGACAAGAGGGAAGCCTGAGCACAAGCCCTACGTGTTTTATTGCCAGCATCAATGGAAGAATGAACTCCGGCAGCTTCAATGAAATACCGCATAGCATCCAGTAAGTCTCCATTCTGGTCCTTGTCGTAGCGATGGAACCATTGTTCACATGATTGCTCTGCACGTGACTCTAAAAGAGCGGCCGTCTCATGCTTCATGTCAAAATGGTTGTACACCTGTGAGGAATGTAAAAAAGGAAGAACAGAAAATAGCAAGTTTTAATATAATCATCCCAGAGCTTAGTCCAAACTTCTAGATGTCAAGCATCACTAGCTAAAGGTACGGAGAAACAGCAACAAGAAAAGAGGATGTAAGAGAACAACTTTCCGAGCTAGCTAATAGCAAAACTGCAAAAGAAATTTGTCCACTTGTAGGCCATACTTTAGAAAAGCCAATAACATTTGCAAACAGAATATGCAACAGCATGTATCCATCAGTTGATATAGCATGTGCATTCGCTAGAGCATTTCCATAACACCTAAAAAAAACAATGAACTCCAAAATTGACCCCCATGGCCGCCAAACATGTTAGACACTAGACTAATCTATGTACCTATATATACTATAAAAATTCTAATAAGCTGCACTATTCATAACATGAACCGTGAACAACGTGGCAACCCATACTAATTAAAATAAAGAGGTTTACTTTTGGAATGACCATAGTTCTTGCCTTGTAGAAAGTACATTGCATCCCAGAAGCATTATTTTATCTATATACTTCTCTACATGCCACTATAGACAAACTTGCCAATAGTTTAACACTAGAAATGACAAATAATAAACAAACCATAGCAAATGCATCAAGGTCATTAGGGTTGAAATGCTTCAGAGATGTAAGAACAGCCATTCTAAATCCTCTGATAGCCTCAGCGGTGCCCGTATTTGTGGCTGCAGCAGCAGAATACTTCTGAAGAAGAAGATCCAATTGACCATTTTCTATGAGAATACCAAGAATAAAATTAAGAGCATAAAAATTTCCAACTCCAGTTATCAAGCGAGCCAAACATGTAAAATCACCCTCCGACACATAAGAGTCAACCCTGGTTGCAGCAAGGGCTACAAGGACATCAACTCCATCCAGGCAAGCGGATGATTTGTAAAAGTGGTGAGACAGAATAAGAAGCTCAACCTGTAATGACATTTTCATGGGGGATATAATCTTTAGCCACAAAACAAGGGGATTGAATCTAGCAAAATCACAAAGATAGATGAATGTCTCACATGGTTACACCTTTAGAAAGATTACTCTTTAAAAAGATAAAGCTGAAAACCAAAGCAATGCAAAAGAATGGTCTGGTAACTGATTGCATTTGCATTAAACCGACCTAAAGTTGGAAAAGTTTTAACTTATGGATTAGATGTATAGGGGACATGACAACAACAACAACAACAACAACAAGCCTTTATCCCACTAGGTGGGGTCGGCTACATGGATTGCAAGACGCCATTGTGTTCTATCATTTATTAAGCTTTTAGAAATATTATTAATTAAGAGATCACGTTCAACAACTTCCAAGAGTGTTCTCTTAGGCCTTCCTCTACCTCTCTTAATCGGACTCAAAGTTATATGTTCCACTCTTCTCACTGGTGCCTCCCTTGGTCTTCTTTGTACATGCCCAAACCATCTCAACCGATTTTCTACCATTTTTTCCTCAATAGGTGCCACCCTCACTTTTTCACGTATGTGCTCATTTCGAATTTTATCTTTACGTGTATGTCCGCACATCCATCGTAACATTCTCATCTCTGCTACTCCAACTTTATGCTCTTGCTGTCCCGTTAGAGCCCAGCATTCACTACTATATAACATTGCCGGTCTGATAGCAGTACGATAAAACTTTCCTTTAAGTTTATTAGGCACCTTACGGTCACAAATAACTCCTTTAGCTTTTCTCCAATTAAACCACCCAGCTTGAATTCTATGTGAAATATCTCCACTGATTTCGCCATCATTTTGGATAATGGCTCCCAAATATCTAAACTTTTCCACTTGAGGTATAATTTGATCTCCCAATTTCACTTCCAAATTATTTTCGAATAGTCCTTTATCAAATTTACAATATAAATATTCCGTCTTACTTCTACTCAGACGAAAACCTTTCGACTCCAATGTCCTCCTCCATAACTCAAGTTTGCAATTAACCTCTTCTCTTGTCTCTGCTATAAGAACTATATCATCCGCGAAGAGCATACATTTCGGGATTTCCTCTTGAATATGTTCCGTCAAAACATTTAAAATCAAGTTGAACAAATAAGGACTCAGAGATGATCCCTGATGTAGCCCAATCTTTATAGGAAAATCCTTTGTTTGACCACTAGGCGTTCTTATACTAGTTTTTACCCCCTCATACATATCTTGTATGGCTTTAATATAAGCAATCCGTACTCCCTTTTTTTCCAACGCTTTCCAAAGCACTTCTCTTGGTATACGGTCATAAGCTTTTTCCAAATCAATAAAAACCATGTGTAGATCTTTATCTTTACAACGATACTTTTCCATTAATCCCCTTAGTAGATAAATCGCCTCTGTAGTTGATCTACCTGGCATAAAACCAAATTGATTCTCAGAAATACTTGTCTCCAATCTCAACCTGTGCTCAATTACTTTCTCCCACAATTTCATTGTGTGGCTCATGAGTTTAATCCCTCTATAGTTAGTACAATTCTGAATATCTCCTTTATTTTTATAAATAGGAATTAATGTACTTCTCCTCCACTCATCAGGCATTTTCTTGGACCGTAAAATCACATTAAATAACTTAGTTAACCATCTCACCCCTTCTTCACCTAAACATTTCCACGCTTCGATAGATATACAATCAGGTCCGTTAGCTCTACCATTTGCCATTTTCTTAAGAGCTTCCTTTACCTCCTTATCACGTATTTTTCGATAGAATGACAAATTTTGTTCTCCTTCACCAGTTACTAAATCCTCCAAGTTACTAGATGAATCCTCTCCATCATTGAAAAGTTTAGAAAAATAAGTCTCCCATCTATTTTTAATTTCATCATCTGTAACTAAAATTCTTCCCTCTTCATCCTTAATACACCTTACCTGTTCTAGATCTCTTGATTTTCTTTCCCTACTCTTGGCAATCTTATAAATATTTTGCTCTCCTTCCTTCGTCTCAAGGTTCTTATAAATTTCATCCTTATAGGGGACATGACAAAGTAAGATAAATAAATTTCATCCTTATATCAGCAAGACTGATCTGGAGTGAAAAAAAATAAAGTTGTGACTATTTTAGGTGGTCATTTGATCGATTGAGATTACTCCTCTCACAATCACAAATCACAATAAATCAATGCTTTCACTGTGTGCACGTATGCATCATATAAACGTGCAGTGCATGAGGATAAACATGTCTAACTAACAACGGTGGATATGATACCTCACACGCATGTGGAATTTCTTGTCCAGTAATCACCAAGCGCATTAAAGCATGCCCAATTTCAGGTTCAGAGGGGCAAAGTTCAGCCCATTTCAAGAAATCTGAAAACCTCCACAGAAGGGGAGCTGGCCCTTCCTCTTCCTTTTGAGAATCCATATAGCCTCCACGATGGGCAGCCAGCAATCCCTGGACAACGTATATAAAACACATCAGAAAACAAATGTAGTTATAGTAAATCAAATGAACCCTGATCAGCTTCACAAATTTGTTAAGGAAGAACGAGGCTTAAAGCAGCATTAGGAAAACCATCATGTCAAGTCAGAAATAAGTGCCCTAAAGGCACCAAGTAACAAATCAGATAACTTTGCAAGCCAATTTAGTTGCCCAACTCAATATGTAGGTGACCCATCCATGAAAAGATATTAAACATTTACCATGCAGTAACAGTGAAAATAATACCATGCAATATAAAAATAGAGAAAGAAAGAAGAAACAAACCTTTAGGAAAGATTCTGCCAGTATCTGAGCAATACTTGCAGCTGGCATTAAATGAGTCTGCACTAAGAGGCTTGCCTCCTCAAAGGACTCTTGTGCTTTAAGAGAAAGCAGCTGTAGTAGTTCAATTGGTTGCTTGTTGAATGCCTCAAAAAACAAGACGCCCAACTTGTTTGCAGCTTTTATAACTGCTATTATTCTCTTACATAGCCCTCGTCCATTTCTTTCAGGAAAAATGGCCACCAAACTCTCCAAAATCTAACATTGGATGTTTATAAGATGGTATTCATACATAGATCTTACCAACGATAAATAAACAGAACACAGACATCCTAACATTTATTACATATAGAGAAATTAGGAATGAAAAGAGGGTGGGAGTATGGGAGGTAACCTGCAGTGGGTCAACATTATGCTGGCCTCTCAGTATATCATATGACAGTATAACAGAAAGCACTTCTTCATCAAGCATTGACATGGATACATGGCAAGGAGGAGTTGAGATAGCGGCAAGCTTCAAGGCTGCATCGACAAGTCTAAATTCAGATGGTATTTGTCCTGGAGACAACTTATACTGCACTTGCTTGGCAGCAGTTATTTGCCCAAATTCCAACAATGAAAGCACAGCCCTTTCCAGCTCTGCTGCTCCAACCCTTTCCTCCCACCTAGAAAAAGACATTTCCACCTTTAAGTTCTCTTCTTGCAACTGCAACTCATTTTTAAAACTCAAAGGACCAGAACCATCATCAGTATCTGCTGATTTATCCACTGATTCCAGAGGTTGGCGTCTTGATGGCAGGTATCCTTTTGCCCTTCTTTTTGTCTTTGTATTTCCAGTAAAAGCAGTTGACAACCCAGCATCAGCTGTTTGGTTCTTGTAAGCAATTTGGTTATTTTCTTTGGACTCATATTTTTCTACAGTTCTATTCGTCATTGTATTTATATGATTGTCCATCTTTGCAATTATACTTGCAGTTCGGTCAATAATATTGGTATCATTCTTGTTAACAGGGTCCCTGGTGGAAATGGCGAAGTCTCCTTCACTCTTCATCTGAATCTCCGACTCAACTGCTAAGAGCCATACTTTCGTCTCAATTTCACGCAGAAGGTGCAACGGACAGACTCTGAAAGATTTAACAAAAGAGATAAGTAAAGATGTTGTCTCAAGACCAAAAAAATAACTCTTGATGTGTTCCATACGGGTTAGATAGGCTTATCATCCCACTGAGCCATTGCAAAGAAACCAACAAAAGTTCATGAAGCTCCCATGCTGGAACATCTTTCTCAACAGCTTCTGCATGTTTAAGGAAAAATAACCCCGCCTGCAATCATTATGAAAGAGATGAACCAACAATAAAGCAAAATAACATACATAATTCATAGAACAGTAGCCTACTATCAACCAAACACACTTGAAGAGCAGGGAAGGAATATCTGATGAATAGTGTGTGGCAGTGGGCCCACAGAGCAGCTCTCTCCTCTGGCACATCCCAAAGGAACTCCCTCCATTCAGTTACCATAGATTCAGCCTAAAATTTAAAAGGAAACGAGTTTATCAGATGTGTTCAGGATACTATAACTGATATTATTACAAGCTGTCAGAGTACAAGAACATGCAATCACATGAAATGCTGGAGAATAAATTCAACCATATTTTTCTAGACCAGGTTTTAGATTTACGGTAAAGGCTAATAAAATTAAAATTCTAAACTTTTAGAGACTTACCAAATGCTTGTAAAAACAATAAATTCAAAACAAGGAATCTTTAGTTCTCTACAATAAACATGATCAAATGACATTCAAGTTTGCCAAATTTGCATTAGAATGACCGTAGCACTAAATTAAGTTAAAGTCTACCAAGCAATTACTGATGATCTAAATTTTTGACAATAACAAAGTATGCATTTAGAGTCAATTAGGTCACTATCAGGGATTTTATAGCATTCACAATTACAATGTCAAGATCTATGTTTACCAATCTCTTCAATAGAAAGTTTGTAAGAATCGCAGAGAAAATAATTTCATAGCGTCATTAGGAATCCCACAATTCTGACCAATAAAAAATCAGACAGGGAAATCGTGGTGTCTAAACATTTAATAAATACATCACACATCCTTCCAAATATTTGCAGTCTCCAAAATCCCGCCTGAGGTGTCTGTATTAAAAAACTACAATTTTACTATGCCCACCTAACAGGATACAAGATAGATAGAGAGAAATGAGGAAGAGAAATCTTTATTAAAATGTGAAATCAGAATCTAATTTCATAAATTAATAAAGAAAAAGGAAAATCTTTAGTAGAAGATGAGCAAACATCTTAAACTCATACAACTAATAAAGCCAAGGAAAATCTCCAGTAATATAAACAAAATAATGATTTCATTTCCAGATGTTTTCTACGTGCTATGAAGCTTCAAATTTATAGATAAAAAAATAACTAATAATTCCTAAAAATACTCCCATTAATCCACAACTCATATAATGGGGGAAAAAAAACCTAAATAATAAATAAAATATAATTACTTCCTTAATCTACAAGCAAATACCCCACTACTTCTAAACTTGAGGATCACTCAGCAAACAGAAAAATAATCTAAATAATATTATTAAATAAAAATATCTAAAATAACTTAAAATTAATATTTATTCCTAATATATCTCTAACTTCCCAAATCACCCATTATCCCACACTATCAATACTCTATCACCACCATTGTAAATTAGGTGTAGGTAGATGAAGTTAGACAGATCAAGATTTTCCTGATCTGTAGAAAATTTATGCAAAGCAGCTAGATCATTCATCTGATCTCATATCAGCTACAAAATGAAGGAAACAATTAAATAGTATAGTCATGAATCTAAATCATTATGGCTTCAATTTGAGCTCAAGATTTTGCCTCAATCGAAGCTACAGTCAAAAGAATATTCTCTTTTAAAAAACAGGCTGACGGCTTTATTCACTACCTGAGATTCAGTAACATGATTCATAGCAGATTTTAATTGTCCACCACTGGCCTCCAATTGTCTGGCCCAGTTCCTCGCCTGCTCCCAGTGCCTATTCTTTTCTAGTGCATACAAGAGTGAAGCATCATCTAAAGTTTCATTTCCTAATTGCAGCTCATCATTCTTACAGAGTAAAGGCTCTGCTAGATTAATTTTCCAATAGCATTTTCTATAGTATGCCGATGCATATCCACCATCCCCAAAGTCAGTAGCAGCAAGAAGTTGCAGTAAGCATCTTTTTTCATAAGGAGACGGGCAAGTTGAAAGCACAGCATCAGCAGCTTTTGAAGCAGTAGAACTGATCCATGATGTCCCAGTTTGCCCTTCTCTTCCTACAGTAGCCTGTAAGTATGTCGGTTCTTCCTTAATCCTGAGAGAGAAGGAGCCCAAATGTGCTGAAGCTTCAGATAGACGCATTTGACAAAATGCCTGAAAAAATATACATATTTCCACATGAGCTCAATATTATTGAAATTGAAGTTAAAATCAAATTGAACAATGCAGAGAAACTTTATCAAGATGATAATATTTATTGGAAGATGGCATGTCACGTGCCAGCTCCTCTGGTGCAGGACAGCTACAGAAGGCAATGTGGAAAAGAATGGCAGCCAAATCTGAGTTTTGGCCGACCAGAACCTCTTGGACACAGTGAAGGGGCACTTGACTCCCTTCATGTTCTCCATGGCACAAAAATAGGAAGACTTGCTTCCAAACGTTAGAGAAGAAATGATTTTGCTGGTCAATGCAGCAACTTCATTTGAGGTTTATGCCTCCTTGACTTGGGTGGCCATAGCTTGGCTAGGTTGGGTTAAACAGAGGATATAAGCCATAAGCTTCAATACCACGTAGGATTTTAGAGAACAATAAAAACTTAGAATAGTTGTACTTATTTGAATGAAATTGAGGGCTCTTTATAGGGATTATGGCAACAATTTTGCCACTAGAATCCCATAAAATTAGTAAATAAACCATGAATTATGGCAATACATTTGCCATAAAAATCCCAAGAAATAAGGCACAAAGTCAGCAAGAGTAATGAAGGCAAATTTATATATCTTGTATATATATATAAACCTATAGCATACTACACTGCAAACAGCGCAGCTTATTCCACCTAGTTTCTAATAATTATATGTAGAAAAATACCATTTCCAACACAATAAACAGGTGCAGGATCTAGAATACAGAAACCATTTTGACAGCACTTAGCCTCAACTGTATGCCAGCTCGTGGGTAATGACATCTTGTTTTAAATGATAGCTGTAAAAAGAAAGCAGTTCTACCAGCCTGACGTACACATAAGTAGATGAAAAAGATGGATTTAAAGTCAGCCCACGTACCTGAAGAGCACGAATGAACGGCAACAGGGGACATGATGGAAGGAACATCTCAAATGCCCTTAGCAAAGGTAAAAATAGCTGTTGTTCACAAAGCACAGCAACCATCTTAGAAAGAGATGCAGGGCCTTCATCAGAATCACTTGGAACATTGGTGGATACAGAATCTTCCACTTCTTTCTTTTTCTCATTTGATATACCTTGGGAATCGAATACTTTTTCACCCAAAGAAGTATTTGAGATGTTAGAAATTGCAAAAGCCGAGGAATTTAGTGAAGTAGGTGCTATTAACCGTCGACGTTTAGGACTCTGCCTGTTATAGTGAAATGTAAGCATTCTATCCCCTGCCGACAGGGCATTAGTTGCATCTACAGCAGCACCAACATTATCTGCAATCTGAGAAGCAATATCGTTCACCTTGATAGAAGAAGTTTCTCTGTCCACAAAATAAGAAGCAAATACAAGCCAATCAGTGAGTTTTAATGGTTGAAGTATTATATCTGTGCGAGTGTATTATATAAAAAACCTAATGCTTACTACTTCAGAAGATCAAAATCTTAACCAGAAATCTATCATTAAAACATCATTCACATGAAGAGAGTTCTATTCACCTTGCTGCGGTAATTTCCAACCAAACAGTCAGGCATGACAATGGAGAGATATCAGGGAAGCATGAAGCAATCATTGCCAATATAGACCAGCAGAGTTCTTTTGCTTTCATCAAGAGAACCTCTCCAGGACTTTTTTGCTTTTCACACACTGCCAGTATTCGGAAGAGCTCCACAGGAACAAATATGTTTTCATCAGGAAAGAATGTCTCACATCCTTTCTCCAGAGTATCTGAGCATGAAGAACTTGCCTTTTTCTTTAACTGCATTCCTCTCAAAACTGTCAACATATGAAGTCTGAGGCGTGGATCACTAAATTCCTTTGATGCCTGACATAGGCAGCAATAAATGGCTTACCAAGTGGAGTAATTTCCATTTAATATGATTTACACTGCTTACACTTGGCGAGAAAATTATAATATTAAACAATACTCACCACTTGGAATACTGCATCATATGAATACCCCCCAATCTGAGCTTCAGACAAGAATCCAATCTGATAGAAGCAATGCATAACATACAATTAGAACTTGCACTGCTAATAAACATTTCCTAGAATATAAATAAATGAGAGAAGAAAAAGCATACCCAGTCATTATCTCTAGCAAGCATTGCAAGGTACTTTGTACTTAATGGAAGCAGATGCATCCTGCAAAAATTTGTAACCAAACTCCAGTGCTGACTAGCAGACTTCTGTTGAGACCTTAACTCAGATCCATCACCATTACCGCTCAAAAGCCAGGACCCACAGGAATTTCCATCAACCACTCTTGGAATGCTTGCTTTTTCCAAGTGGTGTAGAACAAGCATAAGGGCTCGAGAAGGTCGTCTACTTGGACCTCCAGCCTTATTAGAAATTCCAAGAGAATCCTTGTGCAAATATTCATCAGCTAGAGTTCGGGCAAGAGATTTTGTTACATCACCTTCTTGGGATATCGCATGAAAAACAGAACCCTTAGGTGACAATTGTCTGAGATTGTCATTACGTTCACTTGACTTGTAGAAAGAAGAAATTCGTTTTAGTGCAGCAATGTCAACATGCAACATACTAGCAGACAAACCACATAGCTCCAGAAGAAAAGCACATGAAGCAACCAGCATAGAATCCTCAAAATGCATAACAGCAAAGGGCAAAATCTGAAAATTCAACCACACAAAATTTTAAATCTACCATATAAAATTATTACACATCCTCTTAGCGCATTTCTTTGTTTCAAGTTCATCTTTCATTTCTCATTTCACATGCATATCAAAAATAAAACAGTCCTCACTGGCAAAAGGAGATTCTCTTCACTCGGTGATAGTGGTGAAAGAAGTGTCTGAACATCAGATTGAATGTTCGTTTGCCCACTTGTTGAAGCACTGGCTCCCCCTCCTGACTTTAGTTGCTGAACTCTATTGATAAGAATCTGGTTGAAAGCTGCCAAAGCATGTCCACGATGTAAGTGGTGCTCAAGCCGAAGCCCTGTTTCCTGAAATTTTTTACAATGCATAAAAGAGAATGCATGTTAGAATAATATAAACATCAAAGAACCAAAAAAAAAAAAGAAAAGCACGATGCTCAAGAGTACACTAGACCTACTAGAGGAGAATGAAACACCCTCCCAAGAAAATTGGGGAGAGGGAGAAAAAACCTCGGCATATGTAACAAGGATACACCATAAAAAATCCCCGGAAAAATAATATCAAACAGGCCATAAAGACGATTCTATCCCATAATAGATCAAGGGGAAGTACAATGCCTTCAAATTGTAAGTATCCATTCAAAGTCTATACACCAAAGTACAACATAAACAATTCAATGCCATAATGTTTTGAGCTCATTACTCCTACCAAATCCTCTGACCTCATAATATTGTTGATCCAAAAAAGAAATTAGATTCCAACAATAATTCCACTGCAGCTGCAATTATACATCTGAGCAGGAAATACACAATAAAACATGGTCTTTACCACTTTCCCTTGACAGAATAAAATGTGTGTGTTTTTGTGCGTTTTTAGAGAATAAATTATTAAAGTTGTCAGCGTTCAGCATCTTTTCACCTTCAAGATTCAGACTAGCCTTTTCTGTTTGGCACATTATTTTTCTTATTTTGTTTCCTTTTTTGTCTAACGAGATTTCAACACCTAGTTGCCTTTTATTTTGTGTCTATATGTTTACTTATTTCCCAAAACTACATACAATATGTTTTTAGGGTAAGAGTAGGTGCCTTCTTGCCCCAATATATGGGTTCTTTTAGCCATTGGAGAATAATTGGAATGGATTCTTCAAAGTTTTTTCTCTAAACTCACAAAAATCTGCATGGTATTAGAGCTTAACCATAGCCAGTAATCCTTCATCCATACAGTTTGGCTTTATTAGGATAAACACTGAGACTAACATTTGCATGGATCGTCATCTGAAACAAGACTTTTGCCTCCCATTCAGTCAAAAAGCTTTGCATAATCTCCTAATGGCTCAAACAGCACTGCACTAGTCTTTGTCAACAACACATAGTCAATAGCAATAATTATTTTCAGGGGTCCTCCTTGCCATCAGGGGTCATGGAAAGGAGCATCTTACCCACAAGACAGTACTTCCAAGTGCCCAAGGTGGTGCATAGAGTTGGGAAATGGGCGAGCTTGGCCTATATGAGCCCGACCCTCATGGGCCCCGCCCTTTTTTTTAGAGCTCAGCCCTTATATAAAGGGCTCAGGGCCAAGCCCATAAGCCCTTATTATTATTTTTTTATTTTTTTGAATTTTTAAAAATTAAAATTTTTAATTATAATATTTCATATATTTTTTAAAAATACAAATGCTAATGTTTAAAAATTAAAAATAAATAATAGAAATTCTAATCTTAAAGTATAAACATATATTCTAAAGTTTAAATTTAATTTAAAAATTAAATATATTTTATTTTTAAGGGAAAAACAAGAAGGGGCTTACAAGGGTCACTTGAACCCATTTTTTCAGAGCCTATTAGGGTCTTTAAAAATGTCATTTTTTTGAGCCTGAGCCCTTATGAAAATGGGCTTAAACGGGCAGTCCTCCAAGCCCGGCCCTTATTCCCAACTCCAGTGGTGCATACCAGACATGGATAGCTGAACTTAGCATAATCCAGGCTTGGATGACCAATTCCCTGACAGCCAGAATTGAGGAGAAAGCTTGTGTAAGACAGCTTAACAAGTTTGGGATTCCTTGAGGAAGTCAAACTTTTCCATCAAGATCAAAGTAAGCATAAACAATTTTTCTTCCCTTAAACAAGCATTATAAGCTGACAAGACGAAGGAAAGTATGACTAAGCTGACCCTGGGTACTTCGCACCCCACCACTGTTTCTGACTTATCAGCCATTGCTCTGAAAGGAACTCAACTTGGTGATTACAAGACATGAAACCAAGGGAGGCCCTAGAGTGCACATTCCAAAAAACAAAGACATAGCAAGAATGGATAATATAAGTTACACAGAAAACCAGCCAAACCTAGAGGCAGAGGTAAGAAATGCCGGACACCACCAACAGTAGAAGAAAAGGGATGGAAAGAAATCCCTAATTAGAAATAAAACATAAAGAACAAGGAATCAAATTAATTTCCATACCTCAAATACAGAATTATATAGTTCTTCTTCAATGTGTCTTTGGATAGTTGCTTCCCAGGAGATAGCACTTATCTCAGTATGCACATCACCATTTATAAATAAATCAATGTCTCTATTTAGCACAGTCTCCCCAGGGGGAAATCCTGAAAATGATTGGCATCCCATAGGACCCTGTAACATCATGAAAATTACATGAGTTGGAATGCGTACATGTATCACATAGAAAGCTTGTTCATCAGTGCTATCACGTATATGCTGAGCATCCAGAAATAGCATGCAAACTAGATAAGAGCAGAGTGCTCAAATTTCACATGCTGAGCCAAAATAAAGTGAGCATAAATATGTAACTAACGGTATGAGCATGTAACTGCACGTATTTAAATATATGCATAAAGACACTCAAATAAACAAACAGAAATAGATAATGAGAGATCAGCAATGAAGCTGTCATAACATGAAATCTTGATCACACAGTATCGTTGAAAGAACCCACAGGTTGCTTTGAATTAAATTAAGGGAAAAAAAAAAACTCAGAAAAGATAGCATATGAGGAATACGGCTGTTCAAGGAGGGACACAAAGCATACCTGGACATAAAGTTGTATCAATCTTCGCACGGCCTTAGGAAACCAGCACGGAAGCATCTGCAGAAGTGAAGTATCACGTCCAGTAGAGAAGAAAATTTCATCACGCCAACTTAGATAGTTTGATAAAGCTACAAAGCCAGATTGCAAATTAAGTTATTCATTAGAAAAAAAAAATATGATGCAGAAAGGTTAGTTTAAGTAGTCCAACCAATAATCAAGGCTAATTGCTAACCCATCGTTGCTCTAGGGACCAAAGAACTCATTGTGTCTTCTCCAAGACATGCTCCTATTAGGGTGCGCCCCAATGTCGGAAACCGCTGAAGAGTTGGCTTAAGATTCTCCAAAGTGCACTGGGCAGAGGAATTACTATGCCTACTTACACTACCACTATTCAAGCAACTTTGAATTGGAACAGCAGCATGCATCAGGGTTGCCAGAGCTGCCATTTCTCCCCCTCCTTCAGCAATGTCATCAACAGTACGAATTATTTCATCTAGCTCCAGAACACTGAGGTCACTTCTAGGAACTGAATGACGTGACATTATTTCACGAGCATTGGCAAGTGAGGCCTCATATTCATGTCCCTTAACTCTAGACAAGAGTAGCCATCTTGCCCATTGACAGTCAGCCTGTCAAAATGCATTATAAAAGAAGCAAACAACAGAAATAAGCACAGGGGAAGAAACTTCATCGCAATAAACTAATCTCTGCAAAACTTAGCACCTACATACACAAATATCTAAGATTTAGTTTCAATTTATTCAATTACAATAATTCATTATGGACCTATAAACAAATATCTGAAGTTTTCATAGTTACCACCTGATGAATATCTCAGAATACATTGACAATAAAAAAATTTAATTATTTTCATTCATCAAATGAATAGCTCAGTTGTCCAAAGTGAAGGGGGAATGTGCAGATAAATAGACTGAATGGAGCAACAGAAAATAGTAGCATACAGTCCCAGCTTCAAAATAAGATTAAAAGGCAAAAAATCTGCCAACCTTCAGAAATCTAAGGAGTATCAGAATGTCACACCAACTTTGGAATTTACTGAGAGGGGATCAACCATTTAATTAAGATTACACCACATTGAAATTTTTCCAGATCACACTGTCTCCTTGTGGTAATAGTGCATAAAATAGGCATTATTATTGTATAGCATTTATGAGTAGCTATTAGGCTTTATTAGACTTTATTGTCTTTTCCCTTGTTGTATGTATGGACAGTTGTATCTCAATATTCAGATAAGAGAAAAAAATTTCTCCTCTAAAATTCCACATGGTATCAGAAAAAAATCTGAAATCACTATTAGGGTTTTCTGGTCATGGACCTGTGAGGCATTTTGTATATTACACTATGGCTGTTCTGTGCGACACATTTGAGACATTGTTGACTCTCAACGCTAGCCTAGGAGTACTTAGGATGCCTCAATTGGCGGAACCCAAGAAGCTTGTGGCAAACAGTAGCACGTGTGGGTCGCATGGGAGCATGTTATTGCTCTATTTAGGCTGCCACTTTGACATATGACTTGTCATCAATTGTTTACCACTTACACTTCATGTGCTGGGAATCTTCAAGTGAAGATTGTAGATGGTTCCTTAGCACCTGTAGTAAGAAAAGGGAGTATTCATCTCTCTCAGATTCTATGATTTTGGAATCTATACTTTATGTGCCTAACTTGATTGCAACTTACTTTCAATCAATCAATTGACCAAGCAGTCTAATAGTTTTGCTAAATTTCTCTCATCCCACTATGTGAAGTTTTACTATGATTGCAAATACTTTATGTGGATTTATCATCTAGTGTGACAATGAACAATGCAAAAGGAGTATGAGAAGTTTTACTATTTAGAGGTCACTCATGTAAGTAATCCACACTCACTAGTTGTAGGTTATTCTGTATCTACCTTAAAAGTTAATGATTTTATGTTGCAATATAAGAGGATAAGTCACCCTAAGTTTCATCACCTTCAATGATTGATTCCAAATTTATGCCCAAATCAGAATACTAGTAAAATCCAATATGAGGTGTGTGAACTTGCAAAACATCACCAAACTTCCTTTCCTAGAATTAAATATACACCTACCAAACATTTCACTACCATACACAGTGACTTGTGAGAACCATCTCGTCTTGCCAACTACACCAATACTAAGTGGTTCATCAGTTTCATAGATGACCATACTCATCTCTGTTGGGTTTATCTTTTAAAGGGCAAGTTTCAAGTTTCATCTTTGTTCTCTACCTTCTATACCATGATTAAGAACCAATTCCAATCCAATATTCAAATTCTACATATGGACAATGGCATTGAAAATTTCAATCAATCTTTGGGTTTATTTCTTCATAGACAAGGCATTACACACAAAAGCACTAGTGTTCATACCCCTCAAAAAAATGGCATAGCTGAGTCGAAAAATAGACATATTCTAAAGGTGGCTCATGTCCTCGTGTTCATTTGTAATGTTCCAAAGTATTTTTGGGGGGAAGCAAGTGTCCTTGCGACATAGCTTATAAATAGGATGTCGAGTCAAGTTTTGTCTTTTGAATAACCTCTTAAAAAATTACAGTGTATACCCTACATGCCATGTTGAGAACAATGTACTGCTATGTATTTTTGATTGTACATCTCTTGTCCACCTTCACTAAAGTCCTAAACTTGAACCTTTTGCTGTTAAATGTCCCTTTTTGGGCTACTCACCTACACAAAAGGGGTCAAGTGTTATGATCCTGTTTCTAAACGCTACTTTGTTAGTCTTAATATTACACTTCTCAAAGATACCCCATTTTATTCCAAGCCTTCAATTCAAGGGGAGAGTTTGTGTGAATTTTAGACTTGGGAGAGTGAGAAACCTAACAAAAATCCCACCTCAAACTTACCTCTATCACTTTAATCCTGTTCAACGATGCTTGATCCCAATCTTCTATCAACAGCCCATCCACTTATGCTAGGAACTGAGGAAAATAGGAAAATAGGAAAATAGCGGAGATGTAGAAGGACTATAAAGGGGAGAGTTGTTTCTTTACACTTGAAAGAAGAAATCAAAAAATAGTGAGCAATTGGTACTTGAAGCACCAAGAGAGTTAACACGAGAGGTAACTCTTGAGGTTGAAGTACCAGGTGCTTTAGAACATCCGACTATTCCTAAAGCCCTAAAGGCCAATCCATCTAATAAGCTAGATGATCCAAACAAGAAAATAAATCTACTAATCTTAGTCTACCTATTGCTCTCAACAACCAACCTCAATCTTGTACTTTGCAACCAATACAGAAGCATGTGTCCTATAAAGCTCTCTCACCTAGGTATCAAGCCTTTATCATTAATTTGGATAAAGTTAACATTCCCAACAACATTCAAGAGGCATTGGAAATACAATTATGGAAGAAATGAAAGCTTTAAAGAAGAAAGGAATATAAGAGATGGTTGAAAGGTCTAGAGGCAAGAAATTGGTTAACTGCAAATGGGCTTAACAAGTTAAACGCAAATGGTCTAGAAGCAAGAACCTTGTTAACCTAAGATATAAGGTTGATGGTGGTCTTAACAAGTTAAAGGCAAGTTTGGTAGCAAAAAAGTTTACCCGGACATATGCTCTAGACTCCAACAAAACTTTTGCACCAGTGACAAAGCTAAACACCATCAAAGTTCTACACCATGGCAGACCATATAAAATGGTCACTTCATCAACTAGATATCAAGAATGCCTTCCTTAACATAGAACCAAAAAAAGGAAGTCTACATGATTCTACCTCCAAGATTTGAGAAAGGAAAAACTGATCAAGTATGCAAGCTAAAGAAGTCTCTATATGGCTTGAAGCAATCTCCCAAGACATGGTTTGACAAGTTCTCAAAAGTTCTAAAGTCAGAGGCTACAAACAAAGATTGCCAGACAATACAATGTTTGTTAAAGTTAAGGGAGATAAGAAATGCATTCTCATTGTGTATGTTGGTGACATAGTTCTCACAAGAAATCATAGAGGAAATAATAAGAACAAAGACTACTCATGGGAAAGAATTTGAAATTAAGGATCTCGGGGGCTTGAGATACTTTTTGGGATGAAGTTTCAAGGTCAAAATGAGTCATCCATTATCCCAAAAAAAGCACATACATGATCTTTTAAAAGAAACAGGCATGTTGGGTTGGAGACATTAGGAGACTCCTACTTTGGTCCCAAAAAAGAAGGAAAATAAGCCTAAAAAGAACAGTAAGTGTAATCAAAAAAGAGAAGGAGAAAATGAGAAAGAACAGGTTGCTGATAAAGAAAGATATCTAAGACTTGTGGGAAACTGATTTATCTCTCTCATACAAGACCTGATATAGCCAGTGCAATAAGTGTAACCAACCAATACATGAGTGAGCCCAAGAAGAAGTATATGGAAGCAACTTACAGAATTTTGAGGTGCTAAAAGTTATTCTTGGTAAAGGATTATTCTTCTGGAAACAAGAACGAAGAACCATAGAGGTGTACACAAATGCAAATTGGGGAGGAACCTATCCTGATCGAAGATCAACTTCAAGTTACTGCTCCATTGTATAGGGAAACCTAGTTACCTAGAAAAAGTATAAAAAAAAAAAAAAAGAGTTGTGTTTAAAAGCAGTGCTAAATCTGAGCTAAGGGCATTGGATTAAGGGATAATGGAAGAGTTGTGGTTGAGGTAAGTCCTAAATGAGATACAAGTCAGAATGGATTCAGCTCTAACAATCTTTGGTGACAACAAGGCTGCCATCAGCATAGCCTTAACTCCTAAACAAGTCGAGGTGGATAGGCATTTCATCTAAGAAAAAGTGAAGAAGGAATCATGCATCTAACTTATTTGCCTACCAATCTTCAAGCTGCAGATGTATTAACAAAGGGGCTACTTAAGCCTCCTTTTGAGAGTTGTATTAACAAGTTAGACATGATTAACATCTATAATACAACTTGAGAGAGAGTGTGGGAATAGTGTGTAAATAGGCACTATTATTGTATAGCATTTATGAGTAGTTATTAGACTTTACTCTATTGTCTTCTACAATGTTATATATATAGACAGTTGTATCTCAGTATTCAGGTAGTATTCAGATAAGAGACATATTTTTCTCCTCTAAAATTCCACACTCCTAAATAATACCAGATCAGCACAATAACTCTTACAATTATTTCAAATCCCATGATCTAACAAATACAAACATTGCTTGCTATTCAAATTTCAATGTAATGTTAAATTTTACATATGAAGATGTGATGACCTTAAGGCGTACCAAACAATTAACAAAGGGGAAAAGGGATATTGCAGCAATTCCCAGAGCATCAAGGCATCTTAAACCAACAGGACTTGATTAAAAAAAAAAACCCCCTTTATTCTCTGTTTAAATACTTAGCGCAAAGCTTATGGTGTAAACTAAGGTTAACTCTAATTGTTGCTTCCTTGCATAACTATTGTCATGGACAAAATAAAATGTAAAAAAAAAAAATTCCCAAAAGATTCAAAAGAAGAGAACCAGCTTCAGTATATCAAAAGCTACCAGAAGAGTGATTTGGATATATAAAGACCAAGTACAAATGATCCTAATCGTAACATATTAAATAAACAACAATAAGTTTCAATGGACAGAAGCTTACTGCAGATTCCTGCATTGAACAAAGTGAATCATTATCCAGGACCAAACCATGTTGGTCAAGGTAAAGATCCAGAAGATTTGGCAAGTTATATTGTGCACAATGATGTACAATCACTTTATGCAAAGCCTGTAGTGTTCCATCTTTATCTGACGAAGTCTCCAAACAATCATCCTCCAAGGTCCTCTTATCTCTGCCAGATATGAAGCCTGAATGAGCCAAAAGAGATACTATCTCCATTGTTCCTTCCCAATATTCCTTCAGAAAGATAAATCTTTTAGCAAGCTTCTCCTGCATGAGCATCCTCAACCACACAGAACACAAATTGGGTGAAAATTTATATATTTGGACACCTGAAACTTCCATGCATACAGAATCCAATTCTTCAAGAGAGCATAAGTAACTTCCATAGTTAGAAGGCTTCATATTCAATCCTAAAGATGACGTAGGATGTAAAGCATCCAAATTGAGCTGAAGGCTCCCAGCAGATAGAACAGATGCAGGCATCAGGTCCAGTAATCTAGAGACTTCCTTCCAATTATTGCGGCAGGCATGGTATTCAAGCTCTGATTCCCATAGTAGAGAAATGTCCGAAGAAAACGATTGGCCCAATATCATCTGCAAAGAGATATATGGATGACAGAAGTGGATTACTCATACTTTTAAGGGTGGAAAAAAGACATCTGTCTTTAGAAAGAGACACAATACACTCAGTAGATATCTAATTCAACCAAAAAAATTATTTTAAGTTCAAATAACAAAAGCTTGAGCATCCACAAAGAAATCTTGTACAGATACAAGTAGGGCGCTCAAATATTAAAAAAAAAACAAATAGGGATAACAGGACTTCTGCATTAAGAAAGCATATCAAACGCTAATTTCTAAAAAGGCACAACCATGTTGCTCCCTGCACATCCAGCAGAATTTTTACATCAAAACTCATCCAGAAAAAAGCTCGTACATCATGAGACATCCTACATGAACGAACTCTTACTAGTAACACCACTTTCTTCATTTCTTTCTTTCAATAGTAAATGACAGGACTCTATGCATAAAACACACATTACACAGTGTCACTAAGTAGGAGGTAATCACCCCTTGACGTGATTAATATTAATCACAAAAATAAATAACACCAACAACTCAACACAAACCAGTGTCATAAAAACTGGATCAGCCATTAACGTGGTCAAACTGGTGACAGTTAAATTAATATATTTTAATGTTATTGAGAAGTATAATTTGATATTGTTAACTTTTGTTGTTTTAAAATCCTTGTCCTTTTTTTGCTTTTGAGATAGACATATGATCATCAAGAACTTTTGAGAGGCAGATTTCAACTAAATTAAAAAGGTTTTGATAGAAAAAAACATAAATAAATAGTTGAAAGAAGATAGATGAAAAATATACCCACATATAAAGAAAAATATTTAAGGAATCAACACAAAAAAGGGGCAATGATCAACAATTAAAAAAAAAATGAAGTATACTTGTTGGTGGTAGAGTTGCTTCTGAAGTATTTTTGAGATGCAAATTACAACTAAACTAAAAATATATTATTTGAAATATAAATATAAATAAATAGTTGGAAGAACATAGATGAAAAATATGTCCATGCTTAAAAAAACAAGTCCAAGACATTAACACAAAAAAATGACGAAGTTCAACGAAAAAGAAATAAGAAAAAGAAATGTTGCATGTAGAGGTTGGTATTTCTGCATGTCCCACATTGCATGGCGCATTGGGATAGGCTACCTTGGTTGTCTATAAAAGGGAGCGGATGGAGAAGCTTTTTACTTTGCAATATTGGGTGGCAGCTTCTCTCAGCTGCAGGCCATTCAGTTTTCCTTTTTTTTTTTTAGTTGTCTTTTTTCTTGTATTTGAGTTTTTTTTTGGCTGACCGTTCTGGTTCACTGGTTTTTGTCTTGTCCAGTACTGTGACTATTCCATACCAGACTAGGTACCGGTTGACACACAAGGGAGGAGGAAAGAAAGAGAGAGAAGCAACTTACACGATCAACAGTTTTTTGATCCCAGGCATCAAACCAGACAGCAGCAGCAGCCCAATACCCAACATGAGCATCCTCTTCATCAGCTTCCAGAGTAGAGTCAGTGTCACTCGTATTTATCCATGAATCCGACACAATTCCATCTATCACACCACACTCAATTGTAAAATTGCCAAATACATGCGAGAGGAATAATCTATTTTCTCCTGGCAAAGCAGGGTTTGATGGAACACTGGTTTCATTCAGCCGGCAATGATATGTTTTCCAGAAGCTACTGCTGGGATAGAGACTCTTCTCAGACATGTGCACAGAAAAACAAGCTTACAAGTCTTAGTTTATGAAAATTCCTCTGGCAAGATCTTAAACCGCACCATATTTGACCAGAAAATAAGACAGGTGAATTCAACATACCTCAATGAGTGACATCTCTTCTAAAATCTTCCACTCATACGGTCCTAAGTAACCATATCTTTTCATTTCCTCAGCAACCTGTGCTCGAAGAGATCTACTTACTGTGCCAAACAACAGCTGCTTGAGACAGGATTCAATGTTCTCTCCAAGTCTTTGGAGTGTTGCAACAGCAAGTTCAATTTCACCCTGTTTTATCACATGATTGTAATTTGAAGAAAGTCATTTCCTAAATCCTCTAACAAGTCATTTTTATTTTAATGTGACAAATAAGCCAGTAGGTATAGTATATTACCTTCAAAAATAATTCATAAGCAATAGCTCTGCCAATTTCACGAATTTCAGTAAAAGTATCATGAGGATCTTTGTCAGTGATCAAATCTTCTGAACGATGAAGATGCAATTGAAGAACAGCCAAAGGAAGACGACCAGAGAGAAGAGCATCTTTAACCACAGTCTTGAGGTCCAAATTATCAATCTTCCAACGAGCCATCATATCTTTCGGATTTTCCACTGGCAAAATCTTCTCTTCTGTGATTCCTTGTAAAGGAACAAAAGGAGATGCTTCACTAACTTCTTCCATGACCATATGTGACTTAAAATCCATGGGCATCAAAGCAAAATTCCCAGCATCATCACCACCTGATGCAGGTAGAGGAAAAGAACGTTCATGTTGGTTCAACAAATCCAATGTCATTGAACCTGATGGAAGAAACAAAAGTGGAGATTCCTCCTGCAACATGTCTGCACTCATCAAAGTTGATTTGTCCCCACTGTCAACCTGTTTTAGCAATAACTGTCAGTAAGGATACGAAAGACACAATCACACAAACAAGGTAAAAAAGCCAACTACTAATCTAACAAGCAGAAATGCAGGGTATCATACCAATCCTTGATTGGCGCTTTGAAATGTTGACCTAAGTCTACATTGCAGATTTCGGATTATCTCCAAGAAATGAGCCATCTCATGAAGTTTTCGATTAAAATCCACTTCAGTCCGTAGATTATATGGTTCAATTGGGGGAAGACAAAGTAATCCAGTCTGGTTAAACCCCTCCATCATGAATGAATCTCTCTTATGTTGCAGCAACCCATATTTACGCAGCATCTTGGTTGCAAAGCAAGAAGCCAATGCAAGCAGCCTAAAGATGTTAACCACAAAAATATTTTATAATAATCCAGAGTCTAACAGGGAAAAAAAATGATTAAGCATGCTATCCATAGCTTTGTCAGAAGGAATGATTTTTCTTCTCTCCCTTTCATGATTATTGCTGCAGACATAAGAAAATGGAACAAGGGATCCAAAGGAAAATTAAAAAACCATTTACACGGTAGAGTAAATAGCAAGCTGATATAATCTCTTTGCCAAAGATCATAAATGTTGTAAAAAATTACTGATATAGAAGTTTTCATTTCCTGTTTTGACATGCATGAGTTAAATAGCTGGGAACATGAGTATACAGTCGACACCAGTTACAATCATATCATCAACCAACTGCATCAATTTATAAATATCTGGAATTGAAAAAACATATGCTAGAGATGATTATCATTAAAGTTCATTTAACAAATGAACACAAACTACACAATACAACAATAACAACAACAGTCTTATCCCACTAGATGGGGTCGGCTACATGAATTGCACAATGATATTATACTCTATCATCAACCAAGCTCTTATAAATATTGTCAACCAAGAGATCTCGTTCAACAAACTATACAATATCATTCATAAAAAAAGAGCATGTTTGCCTTAAAAATTGAAAACAACCAATGTTCAAGCAGGGCATATATGATCCAATGACACTCACATGGAATATTTACATATAGAACCAATAATAAAATTAAAATTGACATGTAAAAATTCCCATTTTGAAGTCAAATAAAAGTAATCAAGGGCCATTTTAAGGGACTCACTTAACAATACTAGAAATATACACAAAAGTTCGCTTGGTTAACCATTGGATGGAATATTTTAAGATTTTCTGACTTCAGTATGCTCATCCACACCAGCATAAAAACAAAGTCACCTGATCTAACTTCATTAAAAAAAACAAAAGAAACAAGAAGTCACCTGATCTAACCTCTTTTTTTTTTTGTGACAAACCATCTGATATCTGATCCTACCAACTAATCTGAATTTAACCCAAGTCAATCCCCGATTGGGGGGTCCACCATTGTAGTTTCTTCCATCAAGATTCGAACTTGAGACATTTTTGGAGTGTTGAAAAAACAGTTTTTAAGTACTCAATTGTAATAAAACATCAGCCATTTTGATGTTATATGTGTTTTTAAGGAATTTGAAGTAGTTCATTTTCATGAACAAAAAGAATAAATGAATAGACCCACAAAGAACTATTGCTGCCATAAATGGACAATCAGGAGCATTATTCATTCAATTTACATCTGGTTATCTACTGTTGTTACTGATCATTGTAGCACATTAATTGTAATAGTTCTTCCCAATGTAGATTCCAAAATAAGAACAACTATCTACTAAATTCTTGTACTGAAAAGTACGCTGTGGAAAAATTTCTATGTGCTTCAAAAGAAAAATATTAGTATGGCTAGCCAAATAAGCAATCCAGAAGCTAAATCTTAGTAGTACAAGCCTCTTCTACAAAAGAAAAGTATGATCGAAGCAAATATTTTGAGCATTCAAACCAAATATCACTTTCCCCTTTATGTGTGTGTAAGCACACATGTTTGTGGATGCATGCATGAGTGTGGCATAATTTTTCCCCAAGTGGTGGATATCATGTTTCTCATTTTCCTTCAAAAGGCTCCAGAACTCAAAATACAACAAAGAGACAGAATTAAAGAGTATATCTACCTCGAAGCAGCAGAAGTTTCACTATCATTCCCACTTTTGTTAAGCATAAGATGGACAGCAGCAAAAAGCAATCTCACAATACCTTCATCTGCGATATTGACATCCACAAGCATTTCCAAAGATCTGTTAAACAATAAAACTGGAAAGTGAATTACATTAGATAATATTTGCCATAAAACCTAAATACTACTTAAAAAAAACCTTAACGTAATCCATCGCATCTAAAACTAGCAATTAACCAATGTAATCCATCTCATATAAGACAATTGCAACTCTGCACAAATCTTCGAGAATCAATATACACAACAAACAAACAAAACACCCTGCTTCCATCAATGTATAATAATCTTGAATAACATCAACACAACTATTCAGTATTAGAAGATAAGTCTTGCGATGAGGATGGTGTTTCCTTTAAGTAATGACAAAATATTAAGTAGATATATCTCCTCGTAAGGATACAAAACAACCTTCTTTAGGGAATATACCATGAGTAGCACCCCTCAAACGTCAGCACAAGATTCATTCAACTAAAAGACTGCCATTTCATTAAGCATGGAATATAAATCAAGCGTGCAATAGCCAAATTTGAGCTTACCTCTCTATTTCATCAAATGTCAAGTAGTCCAATGCTATTTGTAATTGACGGATGCGAGCAATTTTTATGTCCCATCCTGACCAAAGCAATAAGTAAATCAAGTTTGCAACTCAAATATGATCTTAAGAAATCCAAAAGTAACATGGTAATCATTCCATTCCACATCAAGAAGAATCGCAAGACTTCACAACTAAATGGAAAGCCTATGCATAACTCCATCATGAAGACAATATAAAGTAAACAACTAAAAGCAGCGATTGAGAAAAATGGAATAGCAATGGTCCAGGTGAGAATGCCGACAAAAATTATGCATGTCACATCCCACTAATTCACCTGGCTCTATGAGTTCCTAACACACCAAAAATCAAGTTGAGAGATTGATAAAAGCTTTAGGCAGGAAAAAAAAAGGTAGCAAACCACAGCTGCCAAAAAGGGAAAATTTTGGAGCCATTGAGAAAGATGTTTTCCCATACAAAGGGAATTTGCTAGTGATAAAGAAATAACTAAGATTAAAATCAAACAATAAGGCAGCAATACCTCCCCCAGCTCCCAAAACACACACATCCCAACTTTGCAGCAACTAGCAGGATATATTGATATTTGGCATGGTTGGCATGAGAAAACAACTCTAATTTCAAGAATACTCCAATGTTCATAGATCTTCCAGGGGATAGGACTGCTTTTATCACCTTTATGTTCATCAAGGGAGATAATTTATCACGTGCAAAAAGAGGGATAAATAATTCTATTTTACTGAAGGACTCGTTCCTTTTTCCTGTAAATAACAGTCATTTTTGGGCTTTTCTTAGGGTGTATTTCTCATCCTCCTCATTACTATATATCTATTAAAGGAACGCCTGTTTAATAATACATTATCAAAAACATGGAAACAGGTTAAATGAACTGTTATATCCCATAATAAGCAAATGATTCTATAAAAATTATAATGTGAAATTGCACAATGGTAGCTTTTAAATGATATTGCATCTTGGTAACACTCACCATTTTCCAAACACAATCGATCTGCCTCTTCAGTGCTTTCATACAGAAGAACCCTGTCCAAAATTTCAATTTTCCAAGGACAACACCTAACTACTGCTTCATTCATTTCCACATTGCCTTTTACTTTACATGAAATCATTGTATTCTTATTTGACTGGTGATAACCAATGAATTCAATGGGAAGGGAATTTGACGACAATGAAAGCGATGGGAGATACACAGATAGACCATCTTCTCTAACAATATAAAAACAGCCTTGGAATGCACAACCAAGTGCTTCTCCAATAGTTATCTCTTCCATTCCATTGAGCTGGTACAAATCATATCCACTATTTAAGCAGTTGTCATCATAAATAGCTGATTTCACTAGCAGATTAAAATGAACAAGCCGAGAAGATTTTCCATTCTTCACATTCTGCTTTTTAGTTAGAAAAGTAATTCCCAAAGGAGAAAAACAAATAGAATAATCTTCACTGGATCTGAAATTAGGAAGGAAGATCTTTCTCATAATATGTGACTCCACTTCAGAAGCACAATGTTTGCGATTATCAGATACTTTAGAAACAGCAGAAAAGCCACTTGAATATGAATCATATAAGTCCCCCATTCCTTGAAAGGTGGAGTCACCAATGTTTTGAAGCACATTACCAACAGCTTTATTGGCATGACAATGGCTTGAGAAATTAGAGTTTTTCATTTGGTGACCTATATCGGAACCACAGACTCCCCAATTAAGCAAAATTCCCAGTCCAGATTGCTGACCATATGGAAGCAACGTCTCATATGAAGAATTCGTTTTTGGCATATAATCACCTATGCATATCACATAGATCACACCATTTACATCAACCACAGCTAAAAGGGAGGTATGTGAAGCAACAACTAACCTTTTGAATGATCTTCTAGATGGATCACTATGCAGAACGGATAATTTAACCTTAACATCACATACTTGCTTAACTTCTACATCACTTGTTAAGGGAAACTTTTCTACCCCTCGCAAGTCAGAATGAGGATGAAGCCCACAAGCCTGTGCAACATTAAAATGTGTCACAAACTCACCTGACATTGCATCATAAAGACCAATCAAGCCAGAAGAGTTAAGACAAACAAGCAAATTGTCAGAAAACTGGAAATCTGTCCACTCCATGGCCAGGTCTATGTTTATTCTTTCATCAAGCTTCACCAATGAAACCCAATGGATGCCCCTACTGTCAAGCCTGGCAACAAGAAGTAAATTTCTGCACTTCTCTCTTTCATTTGCATCACCAGTATTGACAGACATGGAATCTGTTGGCGTTAAAAAAAATCCGACCAAGTGATATGATGCACTGGAGAATACATTCAGGCATTTGTAGCACCTGTTTATCTTGACACCAAAGAAACTGGACAAAACAACAGATGCAGTATCTGCTCCACACAAATGCAAGCTTTGATGGTCAGACTTATCTTCTAATGAATTCTCTGTATTTTGGGCATGCTTTTCATTATAACAAAAGTCCTGAGGTTGATTGAAATCAAATATGTTGAAGGAAATCACTTCCGCAGAGGAAGGAAATTCTTTACTCTCAGGGAACCTAGTCCAGGCTGTACCATCACATACAGTAGTTTTAACTCCAATGAAGAATGATTTCAGCCATTTTTTAGCAGTAGAGCCCCGATCATCATCCCTGACAATTTCACAATGATTATGAGGCATTTCACCATCTCTACCAGTCCCATCTACATCCTGAGCTCGAGAGAATTCATGACCAAGGCTGCAAGACTCATCCACTTTCATGTTTTGAGTCAATAAACATAAAGGCCCCCATTCAACCCATCTGCCTTGCCCAAAGTGGTCCTCTAATGCAGCCTGAACCATGCCTCCTAATTTATTCAGTTTAGAAAATGCATGGACTGTCACCCCACATCTTCCAGACACAAATAAAAGTTCTCTAAATGAAGCATCACTGTGTTGATCATAGCTTTCCCCACACAGACCCCAGGCAAATGAGTTCACATCACTAATAAAAGGGTGACTATCAGATCTTGAACATTCAGTTTCAGCAGGAACACAGTCAAACTGAATTTCTGATCCTGATGTACAAGGCATATCATTCACAAAACCTGATCTACTAGGTCTTGTTGACTCCCGTAAGAAATTAGTTGATAAACCTGAACTGTGATTACTATGATGATCATGGCTGCTTTTTGAATCACTGCCATCTGAGTCCCCTGAAGAGAACAAAATATAAGCACATATCAGAGCAGATTATTATAACAGATTTAAGAAATATGCATGGACACCAATATCCAGACGTTTATATTTGGCCGAACTATAATTATGAGGAGAGCCATAATCACCTGTAATCAGAGGAAGCAAAAGAGCTTCATGCTGATATGAAAGCAAAAGCAGTATCTGTCTTGTAGGAGAAAGAAATGCTTCACGAAATTCTGAAAGGTTGAGTTGGGCTTCGGAGGACCCCCATTTGTGCAACTGAAGTATAGCAGGATCCTGTCTGCCCATGGACAACTCCATTCCGCTCGTCTGAGTCAACCAGAGCGCATATTCAGTTATAAGAAGAGCAACCATGACGAAACTGATTCAGAAATTCTAACATTGTTCGCATTATTGAGCAAAGTCGATTCCTTAAACACTAAGACCACGCAGAAGAGCAGCAGAATAAGAATTAAAAAAAAAAAAACCATCAGTAAGAGTACAGAATAAGAAAGTGCCAATTAACATCTTTCGCATATGCAGCGAAAGTGTATAGAAACTAGGCATCAGTCCATAAGCGATAAGGAGTCACTGTTACTCTCTGTGACACAGCGATAACAACTACAGGCTAAGCCTGTTGTCCTTTCATTTCCTCCATTTTACGACGAACAAATAAAATAATCACCAGTTCAACAGAGTATAACAAAATATCACGAACAAAACTAATCAAGATTCAACAATTGCGGAATCATCCAGGAGTTCACGTGATCACAAGAAAGCATACCAAAACTAAAATAAAAACAGAACTGAGGAGCATCGCAATCACTCAACATAAACAAATAATAACAAAGAATTGCTGCGTTCAGTGAAATTCGATTTTAAAACCTGAAGCACGCGGATATTCAACAGATTAGCATCATCGTGTCTTCAAAATAGCGCGGGCTTTTCTTTCCCGCTCTTATTTCTCAATTTACACAGTCCCCAAGTCTCCTAGTTGGAGCGTGGGGCTTTCCGGCGAGGCCGAGAGTAATTTCACGGAGGGAAACCGGAGGTCGAGGTTCGGAGAGATTGAAGGAGAGCTAATTGCAATTGCAGCAAACACGCAGAAGGGGCTTAATGGTCAATTAATTAATTCTCTTCTCTGTCTTCATTGTTTGTTCTAGCTCCCGCAATTGTTTTCCCCCTTACTTTTTTGGGGCTAATGTCGCTTTCAAACAATTCCTTGAAGACGCTTCTCGCAGCTCCAGTTAACGCTCTATTCAAGTTGTTGCACTGCGTTTTTTTTTTTTTTTTTTGGGTGGAGAATGGCATGCACTCGTGTCAAAGAAATGAGCATCTAAAATTTAATATATTTGAAAGTCATTCTGCACACCCATGCAAATATATATATATATATATATATAGTGAAAGAGACTTATCTGCTCTTCATTTAAAGAAAGGTAACATCGTTTGTAAAACATTGTATTAATATATGAACTTTATTATATTATATATAAATATTTTGTTATAATATGCCTAGAAAATTTATATATTATTATTTAACTAAACCACTCACATTATGTGTAATAAATGGATATTGTGTTTTTAATATACAAACCTTTTCACATAATATATATATAGACATTATATCATTCATACACTTGAAAAACTTACATATGCACGGATTATGCATTAGACTAGACACTATGTTGTTAATATATAAACCTTATATGTTATATATGGACATTTTGTTGTTCATATTGCTAGGAAACTTGTACATTATTGTTTAACTCAGCCACTCAAATTATGTATGATGAACGGACATTGTGTTATTAATGTGTAGATCTTGTCATGTTTGTTTCGGCCTAAAGTTGAAACGATAGCCCAATGAGAAGAATTGAGGTTAAAGACATGACTAGGCGAGAAACATAACTCGGTTCATTGCCAGAAAAGAAGAGTGTGCCATGCACAAGCCTAATGTAACGCTCAAAACTTGGGATGACTAGATGTACGATATCGTTGAGAGGATATGGTGATGTGTTAGGAATCTCGTTGGCCATGCTAATGAATCCTTGACATTTTGTAAACAAGCTTCGGATTTCATGGCGGTAACGGTCTCAACTGAATAATTATAAAAGGAGTAGAAGGTCACAAAAAAAACACACGGACGATCAATCAATAACACCTATTAACACTTTTAGTATTTAAATTTCTTTATATTCTTAGATAGTTTTTCATTTCCAGCTTTCATAATCCTTACAATCATGTACTTTGCATAGTTATTAATTAAACACTCGTGTATTTCAATCTCTTTCCATTTTTACATTCGAATAAACTATGATAAAGGAGTCTAAGAACTTGTTATCTTGTGAGACTCAGTATCTCTAGCATGTCTGGTACTTTTTGTTATTTGCAAATAACAATGTTATATTCATATATTCTATTGTACATACATACAAGAGACTTGTACATTTCAAATAAGAGATAAATAAGTCTTTTCACTAGAAAACATATTTGCATACAAGGTATTCAGGCTTGCAAAATAAATTCAAATTATACTGGACCTTAAGCACAAATTTATGTAATTTGGGGATGTTAGGTGCAAGTCTCCCTTTTTAGGTAAAAAAGACAATCTCCAAAAAATTCTCTTTTACAATATAAAAGGTGCTATTTAATTTTAGTTGAGTCTTTAGGAAAAAAAAAATCGAAACTTAAACCAAGCTATTCATTTTTTAAATTTTAATAATAAAACCAAACCTTATTAATATTTTTTTTTTTTGGTTGGATTGGTAACCTGTGCTAGTCACATAGCACCTAAATTAAACTAAAAAAAAAACCTTAATGTATATAAAGAGCAATCTAGGTTGAATTTCTCGTAAAGTTGATTAAAAATTAAAACGTTAATTGATTAAATCTACCCAAAATATTAACAACTTGAGTAGATTTGATCATTTGAATTTAAACAAGCAAAGATTAAAATCTAGCCATTTTTTTGGTATTTTTTTTAAAGATTGGATAAATATGAAAAACTAATCGATTTGTGATTAAAATGCAAATCAATAGTCTTTCTAGATACATGAACTCCCCCTCTTATCCTTGCTCTATCTAAATAATTCCCTCTTAACTGTAATTGGTTTAAAAGATATCCTAGTAACCACTAGGAATTAGCACTCCTTAGTTCTTTTAACTATGATCCTAAATCAACATTTAGAACTAATAATGCTCAAAGAAAACCAATTGATTATGAAGCTAATTGTCAATTTCAGCCCTTGACTTAACCAAATGACACCTCAATTGATTAAGAAAAATGATTAGCTAACCCCAAGTTTGTTTAAAAAATAACCATGACTCACAAGCTCACAAGAAACAACTCGAAATTAAATGCAATAAGGAATTGAATAAAACTAAATTTGGCAGCCTTAAATTAAAAATTGCAGCACCTTGATTGGAAAATAAATAACATAATAAATTCATATAATACTCAACCAAATATTACAAAGTTCAATTCCAACAACCATTGTTACTAAAATGTCATAAGCATCAAAATTCAAGGAATTAAATAAGAGATAAGAGGTCAAAAATAAAAGAAACTCTCAAAATCCAAAAACTCAAAGAGAGTTCATCCATGCATCATAGGAAGAAAAGGCAAGTCTAGTCACTTCTCATTTGAATCTTCATAGCTCTTCCTTGAAGACCATCAATGGAAACCATTATGGAAGAACACTAGAGAAATCACCTTGATGAAAATGGAAGAGAATGGATGATTTGATTTATGGGTTTTATTTCAATCTTAGACCGAAGTTAAATGGTGTATTTAGATGGTAAAATAGAAAGTTTTAAGGTAGAGAAATGGTGGAAGAAGTTCTAGGATTCATGAGTATTCTTAAGAGAAGAGATAAAGATGAATAAAGGTGGAAGATGAGTAAAAAATGTAAATGAGGGGGCCTGTGAATGTGTTACATGAAATTCATATTATTTTAGGGTGTTTAAGGCTCATTTAGATCAATCTAATGGCTAAGAATCATGCCTACCAAGTGTCCTAAAGTGATGTGAGCTTTATGTGCTGCATATAATGATCCTTTCACATGATGTTTCATATATGATCATGAATTTTGATAATAAATTATTTAAATAGTAATAAATAGAAATGAAAGACATAAATATATCTAAAAATGGATGAAGAATTTTGAAAATAACATAATGGAAATGATGGGAAAATACATAACAAAAATAAGAAAAAAGAGAATTGAAATTTGAAGATGGAATTGTTGTAACTATCTTTATATTTTCTCAAGATTTCATCAATCATTTGTGATATTTTGATCATCAAAATAGCTTTGAGGGGGGCATTACCTCCATGGAAATGGAGATATAAGTATTTATATTTTGCACCCTCTTTTTTATATTTTGCATTTTAAACTCATTTCATATTATTTTTTGACTCAGATCCAATTTTTTTAACTCAAAAGCCCAATAAATTTTAGCCCACAATTTCAATATACCTAAATAGTAATATTATTTTATAAAAAATTAACATTTATTCAACCTTTAAGAAAATAAGAAAAGAAATAATTTGACCTACGTTGTTTAAAATCTCAAATCAAATTTGTAAAAAAATTAGTTGAAACTATAAAACATATTGTTTATCCATTAATTTACCTTCTCTTGAAAATAGAAATGGTATTATTTGTTGCCACAGCAATAATTAAAAGAACCTTAGTTGCTATGAAGTTTGTAAAAAATTAGTTACGTAGTCAAATAGAAAATCTATGGATAAATGATTGTCTTGTGACTTATATTTAAAAACATTGATAATGAACTAATTATTTAACGATTCCAAAACATGAAACTACGTAAAGACAATTTATAAGATATGTAATTATTAAATAATTTTTGTTAGTTTTTTTAATTATGAATATGCAAATATTTTGCCCCTCCTGGCCCAAGATCCTGACTCCGCCACTGCTTAAAACACATAGTAAACCCACTAAATAGTAAGTTATGCACAAATAATTTCACATGTTTTATGAATTTATCAAACTTAGGTGTAGATTATAAAAATGTCATGAAGTGAATTAAAGTGATAAAATAGAACATTAGAATATAAAATTAATTATGAGAAGTTGTTTAGGATTTCTTCATCACAAAAACTAAACCTAATATACTTCCATAGTTTATGGAAAATATATTAAACTATAAAAAGTATGTACTTCAAATGATGTTTTAGTGAATAACTCATAATATAAGTTGAATTAACTCAAATTAAAATCATGAAATTAATTAAAAAAACTAAAAATTAGCAAATGATCTTTTCAAAAATTACAATTTTTCCCTTAAGACTTTAAAATTTCACAATTTTGCACCAAAAGTTTTGTAAATTATAAAAGTTGCCCAAATGATCTTAAATGCTTATAATATGCATAAAGTAACCCTAAAAAGTGTCAATAGCTAAATGATATGAAAATTATATAAAGAAATAACAATTATCAATTGGTTTGATCCCATATGAGATAGATTTTGTTTTTATTTGAATATTTTTATGTGTGCTGTCATTCATTCTTTTTTGCTTGCCAAGTTAAAAATATTTACTTTCATGTTAAAAATCAATAAATTTATATCACGTCCTTCCATCAAAACCATGATTTTAATTATTTCCAACACAAAATACAGTACGAGGTCACGCATTTAGTAGTATATTGTTAATTGTTAATTTTTCAGTTCCTCCCTCCATTATCTGCCTTATATCATTCATTTTGGGAGAATCATTATTAAGTCCCACAAAAGAAATGGAAACACAATAAACTCCCATAAAATGTAAAAATATCTTTGAAGTTTCTAGTCCTTTTAATGTAAATATGTTTTTATACTTGTAATACCACATAATTTTCAACTAATTTTCTTCAACATAAAGAGTCATTGGACAAGATTCACTTTTAAAACACTTACTATGATAGAAAAGTGCCTATCATAATAGAAAGAATTAACAGTATCTTACAATTCTAACTATGATAATAAAAAAGTTTAATACAATAAAAAGAATAAAAGATATTATTTCAAAACTCTATCACGATAGAAAAGAGTCTATCATAATAATTAAAAATCAAATTGACTTTATGGCAGAAAATGATTTTCCATAGTATTAAATTGATTTTCCAAGTCAACAACGATGGTAAAAAAATTAAGCACAATAATTTAAAC